TTGCACTTGGCCTTGTTGAACTCTTTATATAATATTTGTGAGTTATTGTAGAAAGATTATGGAGCAACAGGGCAATATGAAAGGTTGCAAGCATGTATAGCTCAGTCTTAAAACATTTGAAACTAATTTAAGAAATTATCACTCCTATGAAATGTAAGACATAACAAAGCTAACTGGTCTTTCTCCAAGCCTATGAAGAAACTTTTTAAGCTATTTGTCTTTGACTTCTGTGTATAAGTGCAGTGATACTATGAAAAAACCTCTCAAACTTCGTAGAAATGTCTCAAATAAGTGGGTTTGTGCAGATATTTCAAAGTGGCACACACATAAGATGTTGGTAGTCACCTACAAAAAAGGATGAAGCTGGAAGAACATCTCTTCCACTGCATGCACATCTTTAAGCACAGAGGTCAGAGTTATTGGCACTGCATTTGGATACACTACGGTTCTCTATTTTTCTGGTAGTAAATCAGACTGTGGAAATATTCATCATACAGTCACTCTTCACATATTTTGTCTTTAGATCAGTCCACTGATATGATTTAAAATTTCTGAGTTTTCATGACATTTTAAAAAAAACTGTATATATTATATTAATGACCCAATAAGGAAGTCAGGGAAACATCCCTGAAATCATATGCTCTTAACTACAACCAAGTAAGACATTAATGCAGATTAATTCCAGACATCAAAATGTCAGACTAGCAGGAAAATTGTTGCATTAATAAGCATGTTTTTAAAGGTTAAAATAATGAAAGTCGGATTGCATATGTTTGATGGTTCAGTTATATGTCATTTAAAATATACTCTGCTACAGAATGCAACAATAACTAAAGATCAGTTAACACGAAAAAGTCCATAAAGTCCCCAGTTTGCAGGATAAGAACTGCATGTGAGCCTCAGGAGTCTCCGAAGCAGTGCATACACACAAAAATATTCCATAGTTGGCTTCATATCTAGGTTCTTCTGACAAGGGGTGATGCCACACTTGCCCTCAGACACTTAAAGCATGTTCCTCTCTTCCTATCCCCACCTAGGAACCGAGCTTCGAAGGATAATTCAGACAATTCATCAAGCCCTCTCACGTGAGTTTGAAATCAGGTAAATTCTAAAGTTATTGCAAAGGGGAACTGACAAACAGCCAGACACAAACACAGCATTACGGTATAAGCCTTCCCTATAGGCCACGTCACTATGAGCAATCAAGCTATAAAAGCTCACCTTTAATTTTTCTCTGAGGCTTTCTTTTTCTGCCATTAGCCTTCTGAAGTCAGTCAATGCAATGTCTCTTTCTTCTTCCACGTGACTCTGAGAAACTAAACTGTGTTTTGCTTCTCTTTTCATCCTGTTTAATTCACCCTGAGACTTTACAAGATTATGGTTTGTTAGCATACAAGGACTGCAATTAATACAGTGTTGTTACTACAATAGAATATTTTTCCCTAGATAACTAAAATATAATCCCTAAATCATGCAGTGATGTGACAACTTATGCAGCCAACACACCTTCTACTGTTCCAAGTATAGCCTAACTTCACACTTTTCTTACGAGTTAACTACTACTTCGTCCTTACTTTCTCGCCTGTATCTTCACCAACCTTTCTCATGCATTCTGTTGGGGTTTTTTTTCCCTGATCTTTCTTGTTTCCAAATGCCACTACAGTAAGTCATAATGTCTTTGAAGTTAATACACTAACTTTGGAATACATCATTTTATCAACAAGCAATAAAAATAGGTATATATTTTATTATTATTGATTGTATTCTAGTAGTTTATACTCCTTAAGTTCTACTACAGAGAGAAGTTTTCTTCATTTTAAATAAGCAACAGTACAAGTGTAATTGGTTATTTCAATGCCAGTTATAAACAATCTCTTCTTACCTGCTCATAAAGAGCATTTAATCGATCCCTTTCTGCAGTCAATAATTTGACATTGGATTGAATTTCTACCATGTGTTTTCCAAATCTTTCTAATGTGGACCGCAGCTCATCTCTTTCTCTGGTGATCAATTTATGGTCTTCACTCTGCAAAGTGATTAATAAAACTTACGTTAAAATATTTGGATAATTAATACAATAAACCAGAAAGAACTCACACTGTTAGTAATACGTGAAAAATATGTATATAATAAATTTTAATTGCAAAAAAAGGCCTGGCATTGGTGATATAATTTAAGCAATAAGAACTAACCCTTAAGGAGGAAAAGCAAACCAGTTAACAATAAGATTTCACCCTTTTTTTGTTTATCATCTATTTCTATTTATTTAAAACAACCTGAGCGATAATTAATCAATGTTACTGTAAAACATGAATAGGAAAATAAAATGCAAGTTCACTGAATTTTCTCTCAGTTAATTTTTTATGTTAAGAACGTAATTAAAGAAATTACTACAGTCATTTACTGCTACTGAATTTGAAAATGTACTTGATAGCTCCTTAAAAGGTTCTACAGTAATTCCATTATTTTTTCAGCTTGTCTTGACAGCAGGAACTTTACCTTCTCTGGAGTCTTACGGCTTGGGCTAGGCCTTCGTTTCCTCATTTTCTGAAGATATTCTAATTCTCGCTTATAATAATCTCTGTCATCTTCTAAAGTCTTTACAAATGCATCTAAACGAGATGGAGATTTGTCTCCCAGGGCTACACCATATTCTAATCTCATTCTTTCTATTTCTAGGACAAGTTCACGTTCTGCAGAAAAAGAAATAAAACCAACTGTATAGGAACCTCATGAATTTCCACAAAGACATATGCATTTGCGGTGGACTAACTCCCAGCAACTGTCTGGGCAGCAAATCTGCTGAAAAGGACGGAGGTGTACTGGCTGACAGTAGGCTAAACACGAGTGAGTAGTGTGCTTTGGAACCGATAGAGGCCTAACAGCAATACTGGGCTGTATCGAAGGAGACACAGACTGAGGGATGTGGTTATTCCCCTTTACTTAGCACTCATTAGATTGCATTTACAATACTGTGTCCAGTTTTGTCCTCCCCTAGTACAAGAAAGATGTTGATAAACTTGAATGAGTCCAGGGGAGGCCCTCCAAGCTGGTCAGGGAGGAAAATAGAGTCATAGCACGGTTTGGGTTGGAAGGGACCTTAAAGCTCATCTAGTTCCACCCCCCCTGCCATGGGCAGGGACACCTTCCACTAGACCAGGGTGCTCCAAGCCTCATCCAGCCTGGCCTTGACCACTTCCAGGGATGGGGCATCCACAGCTTCTCTGGGCAACCTGTCCCAGTGCCTCCCCACCCTCTCCGGGAAGAACTTCTTCCTGATATCCAATCTAAACCTCCCCACTTTCAATTTAAACCCATTCCCCCTTGTCCTGTCACTACACGCCCTTGTAAAAAGTCCCCCCCAGCTTCCTTGTAGCCCCTTCAGGTACTGGAAGGTGCAATAAGGTCTCCCCGGAGCCTTCTCTTCTCCAGGCTGAACAAACCCAACTCTCTCAGCCTTTCATCATAGGAGAATACTTGCCCTGTGGGGAATTACTGCTGAGGGAATTGGGCTTGTTCAACCTGGAGAAGAGCTGGGGATCCAAGAGCAGACTGACAATACCAAGAGGGGCTTATAGATAACGTAGAGCCTGTTTCTTCACAGAATTGCACAGTAGATAAACAAGGAACAAAGATGATTAATTGCTACAGGCAATTACAAGCAATACAGGGAAACCAACTTCTGTCTCTGAGGATAAACAGACATTTGAAAGGGTTGCCTAGAGAGGTTGCAGAATCTCCATCCTTAGAGTTTTTCAAGATCCAGCTGGATAAAGCTCTCAAGAACAGTCTGAATTCAATCACCCAGAAAGAAAATAAAAACAGTTTTGGAGAAAATAAAATTATTTTTTATCAAACTGCCACAGTATTAGTATTAGGATGTCCCGTGGGATCACAGTAAGAAGTTCAAGTTTTAGTTCTCACGTACGGACTGAAAACATACCTGTGACAAAAGATTTCACTTCAGTTTTGACTGAAGACCTCCAGCTTTCTTTTTAGTTGGCATATATCAAGTCTTTCTAGTATTATTAACTGTATCTTAAATATGTAAGGTTCTCTCTTTCAAAAATTATAGAAAGACAACTTACAGGAATCCTCAGCTGGTGATTTACCTTTTATTTCGAAGTTCTCAGTTTTTTCTGTTAGCCTTTGTTTCTCTTGTTCAAGTTGGTTTAACAATACCTCAAGATTCTCTTTATCATCTGCTTTTGCAAAGAGCTCTTCACTCAGTCTCTCATTCTCCCTACGACATGAGCACAACTCCTGAAGTAACAAGTATTATCACAAAAATTAGAAGTGCCAACAGAGACATTTGGAAAAAACCTATTTAACATTTTGTTAAACTTCTAGTACTCAACTGTTTACTTCTGTTTAACCTGGATGTTTTATGCATTAACATTTATTAAAGGCTACCATTGTTTTCATACTAATTTTTATTACATCAAAGTGAGCATTATTTTTGACATGGCTTGCAACCAGTAATGAAATAAGCAAGATTAACCCTTGTGTTTGATTTACAAAACCAAAACAGATGGTAGTGGGGTACAAACATGGAAAAAAAGTAATAAATAAAGCAAGAAATAATATTTAAAGGCATTTAGTAATACTGCTGGTGTTAAAGTACATCAAAATACGGCCCCTGGGTGAACTCAACCCTGCAGCGAATAAGATGTTATTTGGCATGTCCTTCTATAACCTGGTGCCCTGAAAATGACATATTTTTGTATTTTCAAGTTCACTAGAAATACTAAAACAAAGCACCACATTCAGCTAACACACAACTTGCTATATGCTGGAAGGAGTTTGGTCTTCAAGGAACTGTTAATACCGATGTTTTTCACCTGGGCTACCATGCTTTGTTTCTGAGTGAGCAGGCATTGTATAATTATTCACATGCCAATTAAAAGAAAGTAGTTTCTACATGACATCCTAGAGGATTTTCTTCATAACTTATTTGTAGTAAAAATGACTGTCATGGAAATTACAACTTCAGATAGCAGAAATAACAAAATGTACAATAAGGACAAAGTCAACAATACTGTCTACAGAGGTTTCTTTCATCTTATTTTTGCAAAAATACAATGTAGCTTCTTTAACTCTTTCATTCATTAATTATTAATTTATTACAAAAGAGGTTTGGTTTTGGGTTACTATAAAAGTTCTCTTGTTAATTGTCAAAATGTTAATTTTTGTAATAAGCAAAAGAATCAGGTGTATGACAGTATGGTAAAAATGCCACAAACAAGAAGTGAAAGTATTTTTACTTACTGATTTAAGCCTTGTTACTGTTTCTTCAAGATCCTGTATTTCACTGTGCTTTTTTTCAATTTCTTTCTATCAACCAAAATTAACATGTTACAAGTTACATATTCAAAATGACAACAATTCTTTTGTTACAAAAAATTAAGGAAACAGACTAAGCTTGTGAGGAAAACATATAATTAGCTCTGTGTAATCTGCCAGATGGTAAGTATTAAAGCTCCTATGAACCAAACACAAAAATTTTGTGGTATACACATCCATGCTCTTTTTGAGCACAACAATTAAATAACTCATTGCATGAATCCTCATGGAAAAAAAACCCCAAACACAGGCATCACTATTGCAAATATCTATTGCCTATCAATCGTTTTAAGTATCTCCGAATTTTCTTTTGTACTAAGCTAAAAGAAGGAAGACAGATTGCCTCAACTAAACTCATCTCACTTAATACAGTAAAGAAAAAACTGCTGTAATTAATCATCTTTTAGCTAGAAATTCTGTACAATATTAAGTAAACTGGAAAAAATATCTTTTAAATCTTTCTTTGCAAGCCAACAGGTCATTTGTTGCAATTAAAAGATATGAAGCCACCTGAGAGCTGAGCAGATCCTTCCCACTGTAACACGTCCGTGATTACCTTTGCTTCTCCTATTTCCTTATCTGCGGTCTCGAGCACAATTTCCTTGTGTCTTTCCAACTGCTGTGCCAAGTGGTCTATTTCATTCAGCTCTTGACACAGTTCTTCATTTTTATTACTTAAATGCACTACCTCGCTAGTCACGTTTTTTTTAGTGTCCAAGAGGTCTTGGATGCGATTTTCAAGTTCTTTGTTTGTTTGCTGAAGATATTCAACCTGAAAGGCATTTTTCATTACATCGTTAATATGTATTGTTAAACTAGGTAGGAAAAGTTCCTCCCAATCTTCTGAAACAGTCGCTAGATCCATAGTAAAAAAGGGACATCCTGTTAAAAACAGCAAGATTTTCTATTTTTTTAACTTGATGCTTATCAGTATGAAAAAAGAGGATTTTACAAAGGTGCAAGTTCAAGGCATTTGTTACTATAATGTTCTTTACCTAATCCCCAAAACTTAAGGTTTGTTCTGAAAACCAAGTACTGAGAAGCAGAGATCTGTACAGAAACCTGTCCTGGGCATCAGACTGGGAAACCTAGCATACTCAGAGTTTCCCCAGATTTCACAAGATATAAGGACAAGTTCTGCTCTCCCCCTTTGCAGTATGTTTGCTAGGCTTAGTCTCGCTGCTACTCCTTCATGAAAGTGAAGCTTTACTTCTCACTTTACTGAAAGTGAATGTTCCCAAGACCTATCTTGTCCCCAACGTATCTCAGCACCTTAAACAACGTCCGCAGAAATCCTGCTCTACATTGTATTTCCCAGTATACCTTCCCCTGAGAGTAAAGGGAAGAGAGGCAGGGATGTACCGCAGGAATCAGAACCACACATACTAAGTTACAGTACCCAGGAAAATGGAAGCCTGGAGTATCTTGAAAGATTCAAGATAATAGAAGTGTTACACTTCCAACTCCACACAACTTCCCTCAGAAGTCCAGAAAGAAGTATTAATGCAGACACAGGAGAAAGTCAGAGCCCTCAGTCACGAATACTACTACGCAGAGATTTCCATCCATTTACTGTCAGAATGCAGACACAGGAGAAAGTCAGAGCCCTCTCAGTCATGAATACTACTACACAGAGATTTCCATCCATTTACTGTCAGAGAATAAAAGTGATACACTGGTGCTGAGTCTGAGCAAACAGTCTTGATTACCCCAAAACAGCTTTATGCAGCTCTGGGCTTGCTCTCTGTACAATCAATTTGGGTTCAGCATGACTTACTGATTCAGGATCACTGAACACAGCTGTACTGCTTCCAAGCCACAGCTCATTCTGTATTTCTGCAGCACGTAACCTACGCTAATAAACTCTGCCACGTGGCCCTCATGTCACCATACGTCTCTGTACAATCAATTTGGGTTCAGCATGACTTACTGATTCAGGATCACTGCTGTACAATCACAGCTGTACTGCTTCCAAGACACAGCTCATTCTGTATTTCTGCAGCACGTAACCTAAGCTAATAAACTCTGCCACGTGGCCCTCATGTCACCATACGTCATGCACAAACGGTATACAAAATGTCTAACTCTGTTGAAAAAACAGAGAATTGATGGTATAAATCCAGAAACAGGTTTTACTTGATCTATACTGCAGCCTGTCTTGTATCTTTTTTTTTTAAATTCTTCATTCTGAGACCAATAACGAACGCATGCTAATATCCCCAGTAAACACAATTATCTTTATCCTAAGTTTATCTGTTCCTTGCAAGTCTATGTTGGAGCAAAGGTGGGGACCATTTGAATTCCAAAAGGAAGATTCCTTACTATCTGAAGAGATTACCTGCAGGACTAGTCTTTATTATAAATACATACACCATTGTTAGTTCTTAAAACATAAATGGTATGAACAAAAAAAAATAAAAAAGAAAGAAAGAGTGGAAACTTAAAAGAATATAAGTATTTTAAAACTTGGTGGAAACAGTGTACTGGACAGGAATTTTCCAAGTACGGAATTTTCTGAATACTTTCAGATAAACATTATTATGTACAGATATGAGTTCATAGGATTCTTTATCATAACCATTCCAATAGACTTTTAAAACAAGAAATTGTATTTCCTTAGACAAGAAACAGTGTCACCTAAAAAGCAAAGTAAACTGAAGTGATTGATTTTATATCTAACAGTGTCTTTTTAAAGAAAAGCTACAATTTTTGTGGGTTTTTTTTTTTCAGATTGCTAGTATTTTTAGTTTTGACTAACCACCAGTCATAAATTCATTACCTGCAAATTCAAATGGGCGATAAGCTTCTCATTACTTTTACTTCTCGACTCCAGAGAGAGAACCTCATGAGAACGACCACCATCCAATGCCAGCACCAGGCGCTCTATTTCTTTGTCTCGTAGCTCAACCTTTGAGGAAGAAAAAAAATTCTTCATTATCTTCTATACTACTTAATAGAACCTTTATTCAAATAAACACCTATATAACATTCAGTAAAAAGACATACAACTAATAGTGCAATTTTTATCTTTAAAATTTGTTTTAAATTCTGCACATTTCAGAACAAAGTGATTTATTTGGAAGAAAAATAAATTAATCAAATAGAATTTGGGAAAAAAATACTGAAACAATTTCCTACTAGAGCATTTTCTCGAAGAGAAACCAACAGTTTTTGTTTGAAGTGAAGTTAGTGGATGTTGCAAATTAACCGCCCACCACTAGCATTTAAATTTAGGGCAAAAGCTTCTAAATCAGCTAATTTGGTGACTATTTCAGCATGAAAATAAGAGAGTTGAAAACCAAAGGAATATTGGAAGAAGAAAACCAGCACGTGAACAAAAAAAGGAGGATGGTGTCCACTAATCTCCAGACATTGAAAGATATGAACAATTGATGTAATTCCCTCATTTAAATATCAGACATACCAATCCACTGTAACTAAAATATTTTCAGGTCTGCTGACCACAAATTAACTTTCAAAAATTAAAAATTAAAAAAAATATAACCAGTCCAAACAGTGAAAAAAATTATTCTGACCTATCAGTAAAATCAAATTTTTATTCTGGACCAGTTAATGCTTCTGCACTAACATACTCTAGACATACACAAACTCTACTTACGATCATCAAGTTTAGCTTATTTAATGTAAATTTAATACACAAAATATACAAGCAAAAGCAGCAGGCAAGTATTTCATCATTGCTGCTGTCTCCAAAGAGAAGAGAAACAGCTCAACATAGGCAAGTTAGAATAATTGCATTTCACAAGCCCTACAGTGCTTTCCCAACGAGGTTAACGCACAAATTATAATCAAGGCCATTGCAATGGCTACTACAGCCAATATTAAAAACAAGAAAACTGTGAAGATACCTGTTTGCTGTAATTTTTCATTCCACGTTCAGATATCTCCAGTTTTTCCTGTAGCTCTTTTACTTCTGACTGAAGCTCATGAATTCTGAAATGTAGGAATATACTGTTTATATGGATTCATGGAAGAATCCTAGGTACACAAGAGTTCAATGTTAGTATTTTCTCTTTGCTCCTGAATGCAAATATTTCATGAAAAATAGTTTTGTTCATACAGAATATTGGTGCAGAAGTCATTGTTTGAGATACTGTGTTGGGTTGACCTTGGTTGGCTGCCAGACCCTCACCAAACTGCTCTCTCACTCCCCCTTCAAGAGGATGGGGGAGAAAAGAAGATGAAAAAGCTCATGGGTCAAGATAAAGAGCGGGAGAACTCTTACCAATTACTGTCACAGGCAACACAGACTCAGCTTGGGGAAGAGTAATGTAATTTACTCTCAATTAAAATAGAGTAGGATGGTAAGAAACAAAGACAACTTAAAACCACCTTCCTGCCACCCTCCACTTTTTTCCAAGCTCAGCTTCACTCCCAGCTCTTAGAATCATAGAATCACAGAACGGTTTGGGTTGGAAGGGACCTTAAAGCCCATCTAGTTCCAACCCCCCTGCCATGGGCAGGGACACCTTC